TTACGTGGTGAATCTAACATTAATGACCTGGATTTTCTACACTCATTTTTTGTGCCTTTTACGTTTCTTCTTGAAAAATATTATGCTTTGTTATCTTCCCTGTCAGGTGTCACCTTTCACATAATACATACCTTTGTTTTTGATTCGAAGAGGTTTCGCCTCCTCCGTTTACATTTGACTTTAATAATATCCTACTTGCTGGTTACCGAGACCCAGTTTCTTTTGACATCGGTCTGGTTCGATATGGCCACCTGTGTCTTCTTGACCCGAATTCATATCCCGTCCCGCAAAGCTAACGTTATTTACATGACCTTCCCACTAAGACAGGATGGAATACAAGGGCTTTCTTTTTTATGTGGAGAGCTCATACACATACATATAAACTTTATATTATAAAGCCACTCACAGTAATTTAGCTTCTCTCAACCACATCCGGTGTGCAATAATGTCCTCCTACCTAATCGAAATGTTTTTTTGTTTTTTTTTACTACTACTAGTTAGGTACCCGTTGCTTCGCTGACGGCAACACGACCAAATTTAAAATTTGAATTACTTGTCCATTTAAAATTAATACAATATATTAAGTTTAAATGCAGAAAGGGTCATAATGACGATTTTAAATGGCCATACATTTCAGGCTCTTTTCCTATTACCCAGAGGTTGTTAGACAGAAAGAGATATTAGCCCTCGCGATACAGTCATCCTTCTGGCAGTAACCGAGCTTCTACTTTATATATATATATATTCCCAAGAGGATAGAATCCAGGTAGAACTCAATGTCCAAGACAGTAAGAATCGGTAGCGAATTATGCATCTGAAAATAATTGATATTTATCTGTATCTCACTCATTTAAACCGTTATTTAACTCCTCTGTTTAAAACTTCTCTGCCAAATTTTAATCCTCACCTTCACCTTTAAGCCTTCCTGTTCTTCTATGACACTTCTATCTAGAGCTTTCATAAATTTCTCTCACTTTTTTTCCCCACTCCCACACATACACTCTCACTAAATTTATTTTGTTTTTTTTATACCCGGGGCTATATTTTGCAATTTCTTTTTGAAGTTGTAGGTTTGATGAAGTGGATCGTAATTACGATTCCAATGTAATAAATTATAACCATGGAATATTAGTGTTTGAGCCTTATACACACACGCATTGTGTGTGTTTAAAAGAAATCCAACTTTAGACAAAAGGCAATATTTCTCAAAGAGTGGCTTAAATTTATTTTTAAAAAGTGTTCAATACATTTTTCAAGAAACAAAAAGGCAGGGACAATTATTTCTGCCTGATGATACCTGATAAGTAGAAACAAAAGGTGGTGGAAAGTTTGGTGTTCTAATTATATTATGTATAAAACAGACCAATTAAGTGTACACCCAACGAAGTTTGCCGACTCCTGATCTAAATTCTAAAGTATAATAATGACTATGGATCTTCATTAAAAAAACCTAACAGGAAGTTTACACTTCCACAGTGATAAGAGAAGTGTAAATTATGTCTTCTGCGCATAGACTCCTTAGATTACTTCCGGTTGTTATGAAAAACAAAACAAAAAAAAACAAAAAACAAGACAAACAGGTAAAAAGCAATTTAAGAACCGATCGGGACTATTCGGGTGTTCAGTAAACGCTCCGACTTGATTCACTAATGATCTATTTGAAGACTGTTTTAATCGGCTCAGAACAAACATTTCCCCGAGTTCAGTTGCTCTGTTCCAACTGAGTCTCTCCACGCTGTTTAACGAAGTACTATCTCTTCTTGAGTCTAACTCAGACAATTCTTACTTCACACAAACATATTGCAACTTTACTTCATAAAAAACGGAACAATTTTTATTCACATGCTTTCTCTATTGAGTCCCAGTAACATACTAGTCGAAGAAAATTGTGAGAATTAGAAAATAGTAATGTTGTCATAATCAAAATAGATAAAAATAAGACATTATATATATATGCTGTCTCAAAATAATGTATACACTCTCTGAATCGTTATAACTTATTCAATTTATGTATTTTGACTATATGATTAATACAAGAAAAAGAATACAAATTTAAAGAATTTGAGAGTAAAATATACAACAAACATAGAAAATTAACTTTAATAAGATAAAAGCGACTTGGAGCAATGGCAGAATATTCATATAATGATGAGTTCGCGTCAAGTGCTCAAAATGGTTGCCGTTCTGTTCAATACACTTTTCATATCTTGAAGAAATAGACCTACAAACGTCCAGTATCATTTCCTCTGGTATTTGAGCACATTCTTCTTCAGTTACTACTCTCATTTCAGCAATTGTTTCAGGTTTCCTGCTGCAAGCGTTCTCTTTTAGAAACCCCCACAAAAAGAAATCCCAGGGTGTCAAATCTGGTGATCTAGGGGGGTATTCATCTGTCCCTCTTTTTCCAATCTATCTGTTTTGCATATTTTCATCCATATAAGTTCTCACGTCACGCTAATGTATTATTAAATATTAATATTTAAAGAGTGTATACATTATTTTGAGACACCCTGATATATATATATATATATATATATATATATATAATTCCGCAACAAGTAGTTGAATAAGTTTTACGAACATAGTGAACCTGTTTAACTCTGAAATATACCGAGTTCTAGTGGGGGTGAACGAAAAATACAGAGCGAGCAAAAGGTTTTATAAGTATCATTTACAAAACTTTTTTTTTTTAAGAAAAAAAAAAAAAAATGAAAAAAAAAAAAAGGTGAATCGAGGCTGGTTTGATTTTTTCGGAAAGTAAAAATCATATCGAAAGATACTTAACCAATAATCAAAAATACAATTTCAGGAACGTATATATATATATATTTTTTTTTAAGTGAAAACTGGAGCATGTGGGCAAAAAGTTCTGAAAAAAAAAGTATTAAAAGAAGAAATAGTAGTAGTGGTAAAAAGATTAGGAAAAGGCATAAGAAAGAGAAAATGTTTCAATGGAAACAAGAAGAAAACGGCCTATCTACGATCCATTCTATTTTCCCAGCCACTTCTAACCCTTTCCCACTACCCACTTTCCTAAAGAGCAGACAAGCAAGTAAGCAAGCAGCCAATGGACAGGCAGATGTCAATAGTAATGTTGGCGGAGATTTGGTTAAAAAGACGCCAGGCCAACAAACCGCTGTGAAATCTAACTGAATCAGTGCACCACGGAGTCCGGGTTTTGATTGTTACCAGAAATAATCGATAACGAGAAGAGACTGACAAACTAAAGAATGAATAAAAAAAAAAATATTAAAAACACGAGTGAATGAAGGACAAATGAATGACTAAGAAGAGTGAAGGAAGATAGCTTGAAGGCATCTCATGGTTGGAATTTTAAAGATTGCTTTCACTTTGTGGGAATTTGTAGAATAAAGACGACTAGCATGAGAGAATCAAAATCAAAAGGACCATCAAGGACACGGTTCGATTCAGATTCAGGTTCAATTCGCTTATTCAGATCATTTGATTGGCCAGACGGCTTCAGTTAGATGACCACAATGCACCAGGTAGATAAGTTATCAACTCACTTTCACAGTATCAGCTGTTATACTAATTGTATTTTGTTGAAGCAGTGTAAGCAGATTCGACATCTTAGTAACAAAAAACGAAACAAAACAAAAAAAACGAAACAAGAAAAAACGAAACCAAAACAAAACGAAACAAAAAAAAACGAAACAACAAAAAAAAACAAAAAACGAAACCACAAAAAAAAACAAAAAACGAAACCACAAAAAAAAGAAAAAAAACAAAACAAAAAAAAAACAAAAAACAAAAACAAAAAAAAAAACAAAACAAAAAACAGTGTAATCTATTACCGAAAGAAAGCTTTTACTATATAGGGATGTAGCAGGCAATTGTCTCCCTTTTGACAGGACGAATTTACTAATCTCTTAAGAGGCTCTTGAGAGTAACGTGACAGCTCGTTGATTATGATAGTCAGTTAATGCTTAGACCACGATGCAGAGAAACGTGGTAACCAGCCACGGTTCGACTGATAAGAATACAGTTTCTACGTGGTCATAAATAAGAAGACAAGTCATATCTTTAGGGCTGAAGAAGTAACATACAAGATCTTTTTATTCACCCCTTTAACTTCCCGCTTGCTTCTTTATTTATCTCTTTGAGAATTTATGAAGCGTATATATTTTTATGTTGCTTCAAACGTTAATTTTAGTAGAAAACCTTTTTTGAGTAGAACGCCACTTTTTTTTTTTTTAACTGTTTATTCCGTCTACCGGTCTGTGCATTTGAGAAAATAAGCCATTTGGCAGGATTCGAACTTGCGCCCTCCTTTCTAGGAGAAACCATCGTCTGATCCGTCGGGCTTTAGCCCGCTCAGCTACGGAGATCCTCACACCCGAGCAAGGTTCTCCTTTTTCGTTCAGATTTTTCTCGAAACCCATATCTGCTCAGGTTTGTAGCCGGCACGTAAACGAAACAGTTTCTAAAGCATGAATGGATTTTATTTTTTAATGCAACATATCTTATTCCTTCAAACGCTATTTTTGGTGGATATTCGCATTTGAGTATAGAACGTCCCGTTTTTTAAGCAGTGTTTATTTCGTCTACTCGACCCCACCAAGCACGAGAATACCTAAAATGGGCCCTCTGACAGGATACCAACTTGCGCTGTCCTTTGTAGGAAATACCACTGTCTGATCTAGTGTGCTTTAGACCCGACAGTGGTTTCTCTTAAAAAGGGGATGCGGGTTCGAATCCTGCAGGGTTATATTTGTATACTTCAGTGTGGTATGATGTGGTAGAGAGCAATGGTCATCCTTGAAATATTAATAATTATAGTAGTATAAAATTTTGTTTATAGATGAGAAAATTAATCGGTGGTGAAGTTTGTGCCCAGAGAATTTGTGCTTCGTCAGAATTATTAATATAAAATGTCAGAACAATAGTGTTTATATGAAGTATGGAATAGCAATTGACAAGAAGAGACTCTTCATTTAATCATGAAGGGGGAGAGGTCAGTAATCAGGTTGTATTCTAAGTTACCAACACCTCGGGGTTTTGTCGTTACCACCGGGTGTTTTTAAGCGCGTTTGCGTGGAAATCAACAGTCGAGTTGGATAGAGTGAGTGAGTGAGAGAGAGAGAGAGATGGGCAGTGAGAGAGAGAGAGAGATGGGCAGTGAGAGAGAGAGAGAGATGGGCAGTGAGAGAGAGAGAGAGATGGGCAGTGAGAGAGAGATGGGCAGTGAGAGAGAGAGAGAGATGGGCAGTGAGAGAGAGAGAGAGATGGGCAGTGAGAGAGAGAGAGAGATGGGCAGTGAGAGTGAAAGCGTCCGCTTGCTGCTGTAATAAGGGAGGAAGTGAATTCAAGCTATCTGCGATGTTGGCGCAATACTGCCAGTAAACCCCCCTTATATCCTGATAGTGAAATAATTACGGCAACTACTAAGAACAAAAAGGGTGAACCCGAAAACTAATTCTCTCCTTTCAGAATTTTTTGCAATATTTGTTTTTTTTTCTGGGCCTTATTTCATATATACTACTTTCTTGTAAAAGAAGCATTATTCTTTTTGTACCAATTTCTTCCTTATATACATCTACATAAATTTTTCTTTGGGCTCGAATCAACTTGTTCATATTTGATTTTCTTTTTTTTTTTTTTTGGCCCGATTCTCACCCCAGCGAATTTGCAGGTAGATCAGCTGAATCTTCCAGAATCGACGATTTGTTAATTGCTCTCCAGGATCAAAAAAATCACAACATGGCTGGAAAGTGGAATCGAATCGACACTCTGGACTGGGGACTTTGATTGAACCTGTAATACTGAACCAGGACAGGACCAACGGCTGGTCTTGTAGAGTACATCGGCCCGGTGGGGTCAGGATAGGTGTTACAATATAAAAGTTTTCATATATAAATAATTTTTGGAATTTATTTCTCTTGGTTATTTTAATCATTTCTTTCGTTGTGTTAAGGTGTTAGTATATCACGGATATACTAATGCCAATAACGAACCTTGGAGAGTGGCAAAAAAAGTATTTTCTTTCCTTTTCGATACACTGCATTAACCGAATAGAAAGCAAAACTCAATGGAGATAGAAGTTTTTATGAAGCAAGAGACAACTGATGTGTAAATGGACAATAAAATACCAAGATAATTGGTATTTGTACACACGTCTTTACACCTGCTTTATCAGAGCGACCCAATTATTATTAAAAAGGCAAAATATTTAATGACCAAACATCAGAGTAAAAAAAAAAAGAAAAACAAACAAAAAAACGTAAGTTGAGTTGAGAATTTTTCATTTTTTGTTTACATACAACGAAAGTTAAACGTAGTTTGTTTCTGGTGTGCCTGTGGTCAACGGTGGCGGGGTCAGCTGGACAATATATATTTATATGATACGATATTGAAAGATCCCAAACTGTCAATGAACCCAGTCTTAACATCACTGATGACACATCGGAGGGTATATTTGCAATGTATACGAATATACATTGTGGGTCTATTTATGCGAAATCATCTGCGCTGGCAACGCACTCCGGCGACCAAAGCGCTTTCGCGTCGCGTGCTATTTTTGGAAAAAAAAAAACCCCAAAAAACCCCCCAAAAAACGAGTCAACAAATCTATTTTTCTCCGAGACAATCGCGACGCAAGCTGCGCCGAGTTGAATAGACTACGTTAAAAGAACATGCAGATCAACTTTACTCGTCGCCAATCGTAAAACGTAGCGAGTTCAGGCGACTACTTTAAAAACTGCTGATTATGTTGCCACGGGGGAATAGTATACCTCCCTTTTTGGGTTGGTGGCTTTAATTATTATTGTCTTTGGACAGAGACTAAACCAAGAAATGAGGTATATCTAGTCCCGGGGATTTCACCTGTGTCGTTTCACTAAAGACAGAGGGTCGGTGGAATATCGACCACAGCACGATGTTAGTTTTGGAGACTGGGTAATTTTGGATTTTGATTCAGGTACACGAGCTTAGGCTCTCTACATAAAACCGAGCTTATGTCACACCCAGTCACTGTGTGAGTGAGAGAGACTTTTGCCAGCTGCGAGCAGCTTTCCCCACACAAAATTTCTAACTTCTATCGTCGTCGGTGGCTTTATCTCGTATCCAAGAATTTAATTTCTTCTTTTCTGTTCACTTTCTTTATGATAATGGCGTTGATGACTATGTAGACCAATTCTTGATTGGAAGCGCCCGTGGCATTGACTGCATGGTAATAATGGAGGAGGACTATGTCGATTTTGTTAAGCTTTTCTCTCTACTGGCTTCGAAGTTTTTGGTCCCGATGGTGATGGAACATCGGCAGTTATTACGGTCTTGTTATGGTGTTTCAAATGATTTAGGCTCAAGTCGAGTGGCTTTCAGTGTTGTTTTGAGTTTGTCCTTGTATCATCAAAGAGGGCAATCCGTGGTCTTTTCCTTGAAATGAGCTCAGTGAATAAATATGACTTAATGCAGAAATCTTAACTTCCATTTTTGCTACATGTTCTGATCATCTATTCTGAACAAAAATCAATCTTTATATGCTCGTGGTTGATACAGTTAAAAGTTTAAAACAATATATCTATGCATTATACAACTGGCTATTTTATGGAAGGTGTTGGATAATTTTTTTGATAGAGGGAAAGACAAGAGGATCTTAAAACGGATTTGACCAAAAGCAAGAAGATACATTTTCTATTGGTTCAGAGTTTCATCTTATACAGGCCAAAACTGTTTAGAATTCTATCAGTTCTTTATAAAAGTTTGTCTACAAATTGTGCGCAATTAAAGTTTTCTTCTGTCACACCCCAAATCCCGATGAACGCAAGGAAGGAATGCTACATTTGATTCAATAAAAGGCAATGAAGATAATTTTTTTTAAAAATATTTAGACTAAGCATAAATTAGATCGTCATCTTGGTTATACAGGACATTTCTTTCGCAATTGGCGTAGTGGTTATCGGGGGATAAAAAAATTCCGACCGAGTATATTGCGTTCATTTTAACCTAATTCATTTCGAAAAAGCACTATCTGATTTATACTCCCTCACGAGCTATGAATAAAACTGCAAAGCAGACTGTGCTCTCTCGTTTTGATAGGACAGCCCCGAATAAAAAAGGCAATATAAAACAGTCCACTATCTTAATTACGAAGATTTCTTACTTTAAAAAGATCTTTCTGAAATAACATGATCAATCGTTTTGTTGTTGTCCTTTGAAATATATATAAGTCAATTGCTGATACCCACTGACGAGTGGATGGAGTGATTACCGAAAATTATGTCTACGAAACTCTTGAGTCGGGATACTGAAGGTAACATCAATTTGCTAAGTGACAAGCCATTTACTATATATATATATACATACACACACACGAGTCAGCATGGAAAACAAAAATTATCAGTTGATACTGTTAGTTTCACTATTCAGAGTTGGGTTAATGTTCTCATATTTGTTTATGCGACCACAACGTTTCGACTTGTACCCTAGATTTCGGCATTAAATAACCCCGTAGAGGTCGATATGCCACTAAACAAAATTAGCCAACTGATTCCGGTAAATTACTTAAGATGAAGTATCTAGAGGCATGTATGACCCACAGACTGAATAAAGTGTCCATCTTGATGTCCCCCTGAAGGTTATCTGGATCGACAGAAAGCTGAAATGTTGTTATCGTAACAAGATGAAGATGTTAGCAGTATTATTATTTACAACCAACCTAGTGTTCCCTTCATACTCATTGCCTTGCTTGATACATTGACAATATATTGACACTGGCGTGCCACGATTGTTGAAGCGAATGAGAAAACGTGTACAACCATTATCAACATTGACAGGAGCCTGTGATTTCTATATTCAAAACGTGTATAACATGTGTGTGTAACCTTTCATTGGAGTTCGCAGATACATTGATTCTATACGAAAGTACCGATCCATATCGAATAAATCCGTCATTTTAGTCGGGTGTTTTGCGTGTATGAAATGGAATAGGTAATGTAAAACAAATGGTATGATATGGGATGAAGATGAAAGATATCTTTTAACAAAAATAATCAATCAAAAACATCAATAACTTGGAATTTTACTTAGCGGTTAAAATTTACGTACATCAGAGTACAATATAATGAGAGCTGTATTAGTTGAAAATATTTAGAGAAATTGTAAACTAGTGTATTTGCTTTTAAAATAAGGAATGCACAGAAGATCAAATTTAAGACGCGTGGTAAAGAGAGGAAGATGGAATTGTATAGAAATGCCAACAAAGACAGAAGTGCCAACGCTGAGAGAGAGAGAGAGAGAGAAAGTGACGACGCTGAGAGAGAGAGAGAGAGAGAGAGAAAAGTGACGACGCTGAGAGAGAGAGAGAGAGAGAGAGAAGTGACGACGCTGAGAGAGAGAAGTGACGACGCTGAGAGAGAGAAGAAGACGACGCTGAGAGAGAGAAGTGACGACGCTGAGAGAGAGAAGTGACGACGCTGAGAGAGAGAAGTGACGACGCTGAGAGAGAGAAGTGACGACGCTGAGAGAGAGAAGTGACGACGCTGAGAGAGAGAGAGAGAGAGAAAAAGTACCGACGCTGAGAGAGAGAGAGAAAAGTACCGACGCTGAGAGAGAGAAAGAGAGATTGATGCTGAGAGAGAGAGAGAGAAGAAAAAGTACCGATGCTGAGAGAGAGAGAGAGAGAGAAAAAGACGATGCTGAGAGAGAGAGAGAGAAAAAAGTACTGATGCTGAGAGAGAGAGAGAGAAAAAGTACCGATGCTGAGAGAGAGAGAGAGAAAAAGTACCGATGCTGAGAGAGAGAGAGAGAAAAAGTACCGATGCTGAGAGAGAGAGAGAAAAAGTACCGATGCTGAGAGAGAGAGAAAAAGTACCGATGCTGAGAGAGATAAAAAGTACCGATGCTGAGAGAGAGAGAAAAAGTACCGATGCTGAGAGAGAGAGAGAGAGAAAAGTACCGATGCTGAGAGAGAGAAAAGTACCGATGCTGAGAGAGAGAGAGAAAAGTACCGATGCTGAGAGAGAGAAAAAAGTACCGATGCTGAGAGAGAGAGAAAATTACCGATGCTGAGAGAGAGAAAAATTACCGATGCTGAGAGAGAGAGAAAAATTACCGATGCTGAGAGAGAGAGAAAAATTACCGATGCTGAGAGAGAGAGAAAAATTACCGATGCTGAGAGAGAGAGAGAGAAGAAGTACCGATGCTGAGAGAGAGAGAGAGAAGAAGTACCGATGCTGAGAGAGAGAGGCAATAAATAGAGATACGGGATACATCAATAAAGATGAATGGATTGCATCTGTCAGATTTGAGATCTGCATATATATATATATATATATATATATTATATATAAAACCCTGATTAGTTAACCTTTTACAAGAGACATATAGGAAGCAGAAATCCCATTTTCTTGACTACACAAGTATATTGCATTGGTACTGTATTTAACAAGTTCAGTGTAGCATTACTACGGCACCAAAAAATCTTCAGCCTTCTTTTATTATCAAACAATGTTCTCAGTGGGACATCCTGCGAGTCTACTTATTGGCCCAATGTTGTCAGATTGTTGACTGGAAATAAATTCAGAGGGCGAAAATATAATATCATAATGTACACTTTCTTTGGGAGGCCAGAAGAATGTAAATTTGGACCTTACAAAAAAGCAAAAAAAAGTTAAAGTGGTATTTATTTCAGATGTTGACGAGGACAGGTTACTTCTTTCAACTATTTTCAGCAACCAACAACTTGGGTGACATTTGAAATTCCAGCGCCAGTCAAGTTTTAATTCACTTCCTTCTTATAAGAAGTCAAACATATTTACAATTATAGTAATTAGAAAAGTAATATTTTAATTGATATTTATATCATTTACTTTAGTACTTATTTCATTAATATAAATTAAAATACGACTACATTTATTAAGATACTCAGCAATATTAGTCCATGGTCACTAAAATCAGTTTGTTCACCATCACTATGCCCAGATAAGGTTTATTAAACTTAGCTTTGTACGACATCAAAGCAGAGGAGACAAAACTAGATTGCGTTGCGTCAGTCATCCAAACTGAAAGGGCTTCTTTGAACCTTGTGGATTGACGCTATGAAATCACAAACAAAGAGTTCAACCAACTGTAATGGGCTTATGACCATATCATGTTGAAACACTGGTTCCTGTATGATTACCAAAGTTAAGTAACATTGAGTCTGGTCAGAACTTAGATGGGTGACCATTTAGGAATATCAAGCTTGGATGTGCAGGTGGTGCAATGGATAATGGCTTGGAGAGCAGACTTCCAATTTCAGCTGTGTGCGTTATATTCACTTATGCATGAATACCCTTTTGTAAATTCATGAATTACCCTCTTTTCTTCTCACAGCTATGGGTTAATCAGTAAGACTTGTATAAATTAAATCAAATTACTACAAAACCAAAACATTAACCTGAAAACTTGAGTCATATTCTTAAATAGCTTCTTCAGATTGAGACTTTCATATGGATATCAGGCATGGCTCCAATTCCGTTGAGAAAATATCTAAACTTTCAGCTTTATAAAAGATCATTTTTTTTTTTAGATCATTGGTTAGAAATAGCTTTTAGCAAGTGAAACCTATAAGTTTTGGTGGTGACCACACTTTTTTTTTTAATCTTCATTGACTCTTGCTACAGAATCACAAAGAGCTATACTAAATAACAGAAACTACATCATATAAGTATTTTCAACAGCAGCAACAACTAAAATGAATATCACATGTATCTTGAAGAGAAAATAATGACATAATCAAGATGCTGGCATTCCACAATACTTTAGCTAAAAGGTTAGGAAGGAAACTCCCCCATCAGTACTGGAAAGATCAATAACAGTGGACTTGAGAAGCCTATTTCCCTGAAAGATTGTTTTAAGGGAAATACTTTATAAATTTCAGCCAAGAGCAGTATTGGCTGCTTGGTCAAAACACGGCTAAAATTACCATTGCCAGTCTTGAAAAACAGCCTGTGAAATCTTGCAAGTGAACTTGAACACTGGGCATTGCTATCAATGTCAAATATCCAATGATCTCAAATGCCAAACATATTTTACATGAGAAATATCTACCTGCACAATACAATAAGTCAATTTTTTTCTTTTGCGTGAAGTTTGTGGTGGTGGTGGGGGGCGTCAACACGTGCTCTTTTGATTATCACATCAAGTATTTTCTTTTCACCTTTAAAAAAATGCTGAGACAGGAAGCAAAGTTAATTGACAAGTCCATGGTGTTAAAATAGTTTTTCAGTTTAAAAAAAAAAAAAAAAAAAAAAGGACAAGAAAAGGTTCTTTTTCTGCTCTTAGAGAAATCAAATTTACTGCAGCAGTTGCAACAGCAGTGCATCTAGGGAAAGATGGCCTGACAGAGAGCAACTCTCTTCAGTCTGGTTTTGAATTCAGAGTTTTGTTTTTCTTAGTGTGGTTGCCACTTCAAGGCTATGAGAATCCAACCTGAACTGCTATTTAACCTATAGCTGGAGAAAGATGGATTCATGCCTTTTCCAAGGGTATTAATGCAAAGTGAATGAAACAGAGTTGGAATTGAACCCAGCATACCTAATTCACTTTTTGTGCTGTTAACCATCACACAATCCAAACCTCCTTTTGCTGCATTCTCTTAAAGGAAAATGAAATATAATAGAAACATTTATTTATCAGATTTCCTGTCATACAAAACACACTTAAATGAAATAATATAAATAAAAAATCACCCTCCATGCTATTTTTATTTATTTACACTATTTTCCATCAAATGTAAAATCAGAGAGCCACCTAAGGCAGAGTGTGTCATTAAATGAGATTGTTGTAAGTCTGAAAAGGATGAAGGAAGAGATTTGCTTATTATGAAGATATGTAGGATAGATAACAGCTGAACCAAGACTTGAAGAGGTTAAGATTGTAATAGTCAGGGAAGCATTCTCTTGGGAGTCTGAGTGTCAGTTATGGGGAAGAAGCTGTCTGAGTGGGTCTTCCTACCTACCAAAGGAATATGAAGGGAATTAGGATGATTTGATGCCATGTGCGTGACGCGGTGGGTTCCAGCGGTGAAGGTGTTATGATCCGATAGTTAGGTTACAAGTACAAAACACATACCTAAAATCCCTTTTTAACACACCAGTTCCATGATGATCCCAGAAAAAAATGTCTATAATTATCAGTGATTAAATTATTATTTCCAGTCAAAATTAAAATATTAAAAAAAACTGACAAGAGCTGAATATTTGTTAGGTTTTTTTTTTTTTTTTTACAAAATATTCATTGTCAAATTATTTGTGTACAGTCTATGCCAGGAAATATGGTAGATTTGAAGCAACCAAATTCTCTTCTTACATCCGAAAGCAACCAGATTCTCTTCTTACATTTGACTTGTATGCATGTTAGTTGAACAAGAATTATAGTTTTCCACACTACCTACGATCTAACAAACACCTATAATTTAGCAAGGAATATTTCCGAGGAAATAAAGTTTAGTAATAATATTCAAGTGATAGTTTTATCAATACTATCATTTTGTTTTTAGATTTTAACATCTTCATTTGTAATCAATATTTAATTATTTATATCTTTCATTCTGGGGTCATCAGGTGACCAGTATGTCAAACAGGGAAGCTTAAATTTTAATCTAGCACCAGTAACTCAACAACTGGAATAAATGACAGAGTGAATTTGGGAGTTTTTTTTCTTTCTGTAAAAAATAAGTACACCTTATATGGTACAATATATATAACTTCTTATTGCAAGATTTTTATAAAAAACAAGGATAATCACCTTTAAACTGACAGAAGGCATCTGATCAGATTAAAAAAATAGTGGTGGGGGATTATAAACACGAACACTATTCTATATGATAAGGAAAGAACAACATTTTATCTGTTTCCATGTGCATAGTACATTTGAGAAAGATCACAGAAGTCAGTAAAATTTCAGGAGGTGCTGAGCTGGACTAAAATAATGAAAAAGAAAGATTGGCTGGATGGTGCTTGGAGAATAACTTAGCCTTAAACAAAGGAGCTGGTAGTAGACTACTCCAAAGATGTATGTCCCTTTGTTCATTAGCATTGTCTGTGCAGGGAGGGTGGATAAAATTAAGTTTGCAGAGAATCTCTTTTGGGGTAGTCATGCCATTGCAATAGTCAAGAAGTCATAGAAGTGACTATTTAGTAAAAAAAATCTCAGAGAAGATAATTTACAATGGGAGTTATTGATGATGTTCCACTGCTACTTGATTTAATGTGCACTGGTGTATAGTATCACTTTAATATGCTAGTATGTGGCAGCAAACAGGAGGCAACTGCAGTGAGTTTTAGACTTTGCCCAGGAAACAACCGGCTGCTTGTTTCTTGAAGGACATTTCTAATTCTCACTGTCGCATCGAAATAGAGAATGTAATGTTAGACAGCATGCATCATGGTTACAATTTGTTTAAACTGTTACCCTCAGGATGGTGTTTTAGACAAAGCAATTGTGGAACAGTTTTTATCCTTGGGCTCTACATAAAATGAATGGAGTGTGTGTGTATATATATATATATATATATATATATATATATATATATATATGTGTATCTATATATATATATATATATATATATATATATATATATATATATATATGTGTGTGTGTGTGTGTGTATCTATATATATATATATATATATATATATATATATATATGTGTGTGTGTGTGTTAAAACTGAGGACTACAGTCCAATTTCAGTGTGCTTTTACAGTGTAAGATTTTAAAAAAAAAAAACATTTTGTCTTCTTGGCACTTATCCCCATCCATATTATATTTAAGGTTTCCTCCAAGTTGTAGACAGTTCTTCCACAAGATTATGGGGTTTAATTTAAATAACAGCACACTTGTTATTTTAAAACCACCTCTCCAAATTTTCTTTTTACCTTGCTTCAGAATTTTATTTTTTGTACTCTGCCTCATCATATATATCATTTAAAAAAAATATAAATCCCTTCATGTCTTTATTCTGATCCATGGAAAAAAAAGAAGAATTTAAACTATTTACATTGTTCAGAGTGTTGTCCTCTTCTTTATTGTTATATTCATGATGTTTTTGGCTATTGCACACTTTGATTTTCATCAAGTGATGTATGGTGGAATTTCAAACCAAACACTTTAATACACAGAGGGTGAATTGTTCTTGTTCCACATGCCATGCCTTTTCTGGATATCTCAGTTTCAGTTAATTCCCTTTAGTAACTAAACTCTCCAAGTTTTTCTTCACCTCTGCTGTGGCCAGGTAGTGACTTGATGCAAAAGAGTTGTGAGTTCAATAAATAGTTACAATACTATAAAAGAAAAATATACACAAAAAAATCCCTCTTGAATAAATATTTGAAGGAAATGCTTACTAAAATTTTTTAAACAAAATGACATTCCTTACACTTTATTGGTGAGGTGGGGGAATATAATTTTAAAAAAAATTCAATTGGGTGGAAAGGATTAGAAAAGAGGCAAAATGACCATCCGTACAAGCAAGAACAGAAAATAATATCTTTGTTGTAAGTGATTTGGCTTTTAATTTCAACAGAGAAGCAAATTTTCCATTAAGATGATACAAAGTCAAACTGGTGTCGGTTATGCATCATAGACAACATACCAAATAGTCAGATGCTAATCAGTAAGAGAGAGGTTGGGGTTGAAGCACTTAAGCCCATCATCTATTTAATCCACTTAACTCTTGTATCAATTAGTAAATTCAAGTGGATCAAAGATGAAAGTGATTGCCATTAAGCTTCAGCTAAATTGGTCAAAACGTTTTATTCAGCTATACTTAAAGTGCGGATTTAGATCCATGATGTTATCTGACTAAAAATAAAATGGAGAGACTTTCTTTGGTTGTAGTTTTCACAGTAATAATATTGACAGAATCAATTCTCACTATCATATATAATGTGTTGGAATGCACACACACACACACACACACTTATATATATATATATATATATATATATATATATATATATATATTAAACACTGACATCTCATTTTAACAGATATATTTACCAAAATTACACAAAATATCTTGAAATACTAAAGAGTAAATTTATTTATTAAAGTCACCATTTGCTTCAACCATGGCCTCCAGGCAACTTCAGAATCTCCTGCAACTCTTCTGGGTGATCTCCTTGATTAAGTTGATGAATGATTCAATAATCCTTTCCTTCAGTTCATCTTTAGTGTTACAAGTAGTTTTGTTGGTTTCTCGTGCAACTGCGCCCCACACATAATAATCAAGGGGGATTGCAGTCTGGGAAGTTTGGTGGTCAGATGTAAAGGGTTATGTGGTCACAGAAATTGTCTGACAGCCCTGACTGGGATATCTTGCTTGTGTGGCATGGTGCAGGGTCCTGTTGCCAGACATAGGGTCTTCTAGCAGCCAATCTCTTACCTCAGGGCAGCACTACCTCAAGACACTTGATGTAGGCCTCCATGTTGAGTGAGGCTCTCACCAACAAATTTGGGAGTTCTTTTCTTATCAAAATAATTAGAATGAGTTTTCAGAGCTGCCATACCTTTGTAATCATTAGATACATTCAACTCTTTCTGAATCCTCTGCACGATCCACAGATTGACACCCAAGCACTCTAAAATGTTTGTAATGGAGCTTCTGGTACAAATGCCAAGCAGTACAGCATGCCATTTCTAAATCTCTGACGAATGGAATTGCGTCATGGTACTCTTTTTCTCACAGACAGTGCCCAACTGACCCTACTATATTGAGCAGTTGAAAAAACAAACAAACAAAAACAAACAACAAACACAAACAACAAACACAAACAACAAACACAAACAACAAACAACAAAACAAAAACAAAACAAAAACAAAAAACAATATAAATAAGAGATTAAAATAATAGGTAATTACATTAAAAAGTATTCAAAAACAAAAACATTTTCCTCGCATATTTCTTTACTAGGCAATGAATAAGATCACTTAGCAGCCTCCATAGTTTACCTTTCCTTATACAGCTAGCGTTAAGAATATTTTAAAGCCGCCTCAAATTTAAAATATTAAAAAACTTGATATTTTCCTCGACTTTTGTGCATAAAATACAACATAAAACCTTCCACATTTATCTTGATAAAGTCCTGTAGAAGATGAAACATTTATAAAGGATTGCTTTCCTTTTGTAGATTATATATAATAAAACTTTGATTTGCAAAACTAATTGGAGGAGTGTGATTTCCTTAAGAAATAAATTCTATAGATCACTGCATTTCTTGAATATTATTTTGTTAAATTCTAAACAGCATGCAAATAACCATTATTACATAAAATTGTATAAAACATCCAATAAAACAATTGTACATATTTTTCCTTGCTCATATTAATTCAGTGGGTGAGTGGTGTTGTAGATGTAATGTTTTGATGGGTACTATGCTAAGAGGGTTTTTTAGCAGTTCTTTTTAAAACCCATTTGATTTTTTAGTACCCGTTTGGATTATCGTTTTTTTTTTTTTAAGTCTACTTTTATTAACAAAATTTAATGAAATCAGGATAACCTAATGTACTTTACAATTTCTCAATTTTTATTACTTAAATCCACTGAGTAGTAAATATGAAAAACTTTTCTGTAAGGCCCATGTGAGCCATGTGTGTTTCCTTAAATCAAAGGATGTTATATATATGTGTGTGTGTGTGTGTGTGTGTGTGTGTGATTGAATAAATTAGACATTATGTTTGCTATTTTTTTAACAAAATCCGTTTATACTCACGAATAACCTCTTGTGTATTGATGTCAAAAGATGAGAGAAATGTGCTATAGCTGTTTAAATTTCTTGTATTTTCATTTCCCAAGTACTTTCAAAGCAACATTCTCGACACTTTGATCAGACCTTGCATATGTTCGCATCTGAAAACTTTGCCCTAGAGCCATTTGACAAATTAAGTTTTAGATTGAAATTTACTAAGCTTCCTCACGATTTCTAAAAAATAAAAAAGTGTAGGAAGACATTTTTTTCAATCTTCCCAGTCTGATTTGGAAATTCCGCATTCATAATTTTGGCTTTTACTTCTCGTTCAAATATCAGGAACGGCATTAGTGGAAAAATGTCATTTGGTTTCTAAATATCAATTCACGATATTAACTTCAGTTTATCAAAAAGGCGACAAATAATGACAGAGAAGATTGTGTTAATCTAAGGGTAGGCTAAAAAAATATCGGCACTGGCATTTGAAATTTAGTCAAAAGTGTGACCATTTGCAACTATTGACGAACTATATACCCTAACTACAATGGATTATTCCAACAGTGAGTGGAACCTGATGATAAAAAACTGACTAAAGGAAAAAAGGACAGAAAAGACGTCGTGAAAGGTGACAGAAGGGAAAAAAGGACAAAAAGACGTCGTGACAGGAGATAAAAGGCGGAGGGAAGGACAAAAGACGTCGTGAAAAGGTAATAGAAGAGGAAGGGAAGGACAAATGACGGCATGAAACATGACAGAAGTGTGGGACAAAGATGTCGTGAAGCATGACTGAAGAGAAAAAAAAGGACAAAAGACAAGCAGCAGTAAAAAAATAAAATTAAGTCATTATCAATGTTCATGAATTCATGCATGTGTTACTGAGAACAGGTCTACATATATCTGTATAATTAATTCCCTTTGATGTCTTAGATACCATCATTTCCATTTCGACTAGATTTTTCAAAGTGAACATTTTTTAGATAAAAATAAAAGATAATTTAATTTCCTTTTTTTCAGCTCATAAATGAAACCCTCTTCCTCGTTAGTGCCACTATCTCATCATGTTACGTACTGTTGTTTCCATAGAAAAGGGGTTTTTACAGCATGGAGTTGACAGGCCCCAAAGTCCAACCGGTTCTGAATTTAGGGTTATCCCCGATTATTTGGAAACCAAGGCTAGAGAACATACTTTGACCTGCTATTTAACCCATATCTGAGAAGAAAAAACAAACAAAAAAGTCGATGGATAATTTTCACAAGGGCAAAATGAACACAACGAACTAGGCTGGAATTTGAAGTCGGCACATATCACGGTTTAATAAATAGGTTAGCTTTGTAATTAGAATTTAATGTTCAAATCTTAGCTTTCCTGGAAAAAATGACGTTTTTCACGTCTTTTTATTTATTTTTTTACAATCTCAAATATCTGCAAGATACGCAAATGAAGTAATAACGAATAAAGAATTTGTTTGGCTTTGTGTTTGATAGTCTTAGGAATTTTAGTCTGATAGGAACATGTGATTTGTTGGGTGGATACCTTACAGAATACAGAAATTTTTAAAATTAAGTAAACGATATGAATAAATAAAGAAAGAAAACATTGAGAAACAAATAGCAACACCTAAGACTAAATCAACAACAACAAAAAAAAAAGTATTTGTTCAAAACTTAACCTTCTAAACTTGCAAAATTTTCATGTACGTAGCTTTTCTGTGTTTTGCTATTGTGTTATCTACATTCTACATCTACGATATTATGTTTATGAAATCTCTACGTATTATGTTTGCATAAACGTGGTCTGTCTGTCTGGAGAAAAAACAAACAACCAATCATTTTTAACTTTAATACTAAAACAACCTAACACTTTAGTCCCACTCAATGTACTCGACTTGAGACCTCTCTCATTCCCGTGTCCCTTCGATTTTTTTTAAACAGTCCACAAAGTGTTCTTTCAAGATCACCATTAGCTGTTTTGTCCCGTTCATTTTAATCTAGCCCTCAGTCAGAAATCTCCGTTCAATTGCAATAAGTCAAATCTGGACTGGGGGCGAGGACAGTTTACAATAATAATAAATAATAATAATAATTAAAAAAAAGAAGAGCTCTTGACGAAACGTTAAAAACCTATTCGTTCGGCCGTTGTACTTGTCACGGTCACATTGAGATTTCATTGTTGATTGAGTAAAACCACGAAACAGTGTGTGTGTGTGTGGGGTATTTGTGTGTGTGTGTGTGTCCATGTAAAGTCACTAGTTGGTTGCCAACTTGGTGTAGTATCAAGAAAGCACACGTTTAAGAAAGAAAAAGGGAAAAAAGAAAGATGGAAAAGAGAAAATAGAAGGGAAAAAATAAAGATGAAAAGAGAAGAGAAACGGAGAACGAAAACAGAAGTAAAATAGAATTTTCTTAAGGGGAAAGAAAAAGCGAGAGATGAAAAAGAAAAAAAAAAAAAGAAAGAAAATGGCTGGATATTTTCCGGATAGCCCTTATATGCATATACAGTGGATTTTGCTCAAGACAAATGTCAGTTACAAAGAATCCACTTTGCAATGTGCAATAACAGAATCAGACAATATTTTTATTATTCATGCAAATCCATTTAAAAGAAACAGATGCTTATAACGGTCAAAATTCGTTATCCTGGTGTTTTGGGCTTATAGAACAATATTGTGTGTGTGTGTGTGTGTGTGTGTGTTCATGTCTACTATACGGTGCTAAAACTTGAGCTACCCCTCTTGCTGACGCCCACACACTTTGTTTTCTTACAGTTGATCCATTAACCGGATTAAATAAGATCAAGTCATCCTCGGGGTTTAGGCACATATGTGGTTAAACCACGGATGTAATTGGTCTTATACCTACACTAGAATAACAAGGCGAAGAGAAAAAAAAAGTTAAAAGAAGCATTAATTACCCGCTCATCTCCCGGTGGATGTAGTTCTGTCCGTCTTCACACGTTTTTCTTGATTAATCAACTCAAATTATTTTTTTTCCTTTTTAGGCTTCAGTACTTAAAATTATAGATGTTAACTTTTGGCGGAAACTAAAGTCGGCCCTGACAATATGCTTCCATGTGTTTGTCAACAGTGAGTATGAGATTTTACAAGTAAATCAGAGATAGACAGACAATTGGTTGCGGAACTTATCACAAGTTTCTTTTAGTTATTTATCGTGAAAACACCAACAGGGCTAAGTCTATTACTCCTTGAATTTTAAGTTTTCTAGGTAGTTTTTTGTATGTATACTTACAATCAGAAAGAGACTCTTGAAATAATGAGGAAGGAGGGTTTGGAGAATTTAACTCCCATAGGACGTATTGAAGGTAAGAGGGAAACGGCGAATAACATGGCTATCGATTTTATGTCAGTAGGTAGCAGAAGAGGTACTAGGAGGCATAGTAAGAGAACAAAGAACAGGAAGCTGTTGAGAACCACCCACTTCCTGTAGGGACATGGCATATAAAAGAATTATGCTACTAGATTTCCTGTATAGATTCTCTTTATTGTAACATATTTGAGTACTGGCCACTGATAATGTTAAAGATAGTGGAGTATGTGCTATAACACCACTTGTCTGTTAAAAAGCTTCTGTAGACGGTCGCTAGATGGTGTTGCCAAAAGCAGTATATAAGGAAAGAGTCATCAGAGTTATTTTTATTTTATTTTTTTTTACTCATAAGGTGTCTCGTTCCCTCTATCGAGTGTGGGGTACTTTTCAGACCCAGGTGAATCGGATGTCGTATCGAACACAATAGCATAGTGCGTACAGTTGTTTTAAGCTTACTTGACTATACAGAGTCCTATGACATTTCATTTAGCGTAATGTAGGACGAAACTCGTGACATACACACACAAATCCACTTTGTTATAGGTTTTCCTAAAATTGTTCATATTATATATAATTTAAAAAAAAAAAAGATAAAATTCCATCGCTACCCAAAGTTCTCATATTTCAAAAATAGAAGCTAAAAAAAAAAAAAAAAAAAACAGCTCTATTTCATCCTCAAAATTCGCTTGTTTTTTAGCTTCTATTTTTGAAACATGAGAACTCTTATGTAGCGATGGAATCATATTTTTAAAAAAATAATTATAATTTAGGGTTTACTTTTGTATTGAGCACTGTTTTTTAAAAATAAAAACAAAAATACTAAAGACCTTTGGATTATTAACCTAACGGTTCTTTCCTATTTTTCTATATTTGTTAAATCCTGTTGATAATTATTAATCTAGTGTTTTGACAAAGGGCGGAAAGGGTGACATCGAAATCCAAAGACGCATTGCGAAAAATGCGTTCCAAAAGCTAAGCAAAGTAGTAAGAAACAGGAAAATTTTGTTCGACACAAAGAAAAGTGTGCTGAACTGATGGGCAATATCAATCCTCTTAAATGGCAGTTAATGCTGGATAATCCTATCACAGATGAAGAAATCTGAGTCAACAGACGTGTGGTTCTATAGAAGGATACCAAAATACCGTGAACTGAATATATGAGTAATGAAGTTTTATAGAAAATAGTAACAAAAAGAACACATATACGTAACATCAGAAAGAAATAGTTGAAATATCTTGGTAATATAATGAGAAAAGGAGGCTTGGTGAAATTGACACACGGGATATAATGAAGGCGAGACAGAGGAAAACAGCGACGAATTTACCTAACGACCTTTTGTAATTGCGTGGCAGAACAGATTTTAAGAGAGATAGCAAAAGACAAAATTTACTAAGAGTTGCAAAGGAGCAGAAAATTGTGGAGAGCCATGATCGCCAACGTCCTAAAGATAATTGGCATATAGAAGAATCTCTCCGCAAGTAGACAAGTTGTGGACTTGAAAATTCTAAAAGATACAACACAACAATAGGAAATAAGACTGAATATATTGTTCATAGAAAAAGAGTAGTTTTCTTTGTATTTTCACTCGAAGAATGTCGAAGTAACAATATCAGTGACACAAAACGAACCCAGTTGTCCAAACAACGCTTAGAAAATTGAATATAGAAATGCACAACAGATTTATCTTACCTTATCTCCACGGTTGAAAAGGTCATTTGCGGAGACTCCTGTTTGTTTATAGTGTATTTACTTGCGTATTCATTGATGAAAATAAAATTATCTGTTGAATTTCAATATGGCTTGTGTGAATGCTAACGTGGTAGGTTCACATAGATGTGAAATTGGGCATCAATACCTGTTTGTCGTGTTGGGTGGGTGACATAAATGAGTGTTCTGTTGATTTGATAGATTTACGGTTGGTAGGTTTCCTTATAGGTTTAATCGTGTCTGTTGCTTTGTTAACATCAGATGAATTGATTTGTGTCTGTTTATAAAGATTTGGACAGGCTACAGAAAAGGTGAAAGTTTCATTTTCTTGAGTTACCCGCTACATTTCTGCTTTCTGTTCGAAAATGTTACCTTGTTTCTTATCAGCGATTACGAGTGAAATGACCATCTTTGACTAGACTGGACACTTGAAGAGTAAAATACAGTTTGTGGGATTGTCCAAATTTTTCCGTCAAAGAAATTGTGATTTGAATAAATGAATAAAGGAAGAATTGTCACTTACGTTGATGGCGGTAGAGAAACTGAGTAAATGAAGGAGAGAGTTTTAATTAAAAAAAAATCAAAGCATTGTGGGTAACTGTTGTGACCTAGAGAAGGTTACGGAATAGAATAGTCACATGAAGGTTGGTAATGAACAATAATATTTAGGACAAGAACAACATCTATAAGATTCGCCAGCGGCGCGTAGAAGTCAACTGCTAGAAGTGAGTCAAGTGAATTCCATAATGAAT